TTGCAAGGACCTAAAAATATTGATAGATATAGTTCTGATAAGCTCAAAGCGAAGCCTGAATAATTTTGCAAATACTAAACCTACTTAACAGAGCTTATTACAAGTAAAGACCAGATGCTACATTTCAACGTCTTCTTGAGCGAAGAGCTTGATTTGCAACTGTTTTTAGCCTAAAGCTCCACAGGTCTGACGTGAGACATGAGACGGAGACGTGAGACGTGCGACATTGCGAGACTTGAAACCGTTTCTATATAAAATATAGGTATGAAAGCTACACACGTGAGACGCGCGTCGCATCGATGACGGCTGACTACCTCTTGTCTGATAGATACTTAGATGTCATCTTACGTCTCACTTGCGTCTCACACACATCACTCGATGACATTTAGGTTTGGCAGAGCATCAAAATTAACTGTCAAAATATAAGTTCGTTTTGGCTATGTTTGACATTTACCTATTTAAAAAAACAATGTATCATTTTTCAGTAGTGAAATGATCCACAGAGTATTGTATATAGGTACCTACATGCGTTGTGTTTTGTGTGTTGTGCTGTAGTCTCTCTCTCTTCGGATTGAACACCGAGTCGTCCAACGACCCGATGAACCCTGCTGTAGTGACACATACTGTAGTCTCATTTTTTTGTTACGATATCATATAGATGTAGTCGATTTCCAAATTTATAGCACGAGAAATGAGAGCAAAGCAAAGGTCTTTACGAGATGCTACATTTCAACGTCTAGAGCTTAATTTGCAACCGATTTAAAGTAGGGCCGCGCGAATAAGTCCTATTTGGCAGGTGTTGAAGTCATACTAAAGCTATCACGGTATGCTTTTTTTTGTTACGTCTTCTGGTATGGCAGCTGTCAAATAGGACTAATTCGAGCGGCCGTACTTTATGATCTCAGCCTTGAATATTAAAAGAGATTATGCAAAGATCTAAAAATAGGTATAGACATAGTCTTGTGAAGAGTAAAGTGAAGCCTACTTCAAATATTACTATGCTGAGCGAGAAATACGGGGTGTTAGGGACGGTGTAACGAAAACTTTGCAGGCGTGCTCAGACCATGAAACTGAACAACTTTTACAATGGAGCCAATGGTGGGAAACGAAAAAAAATTCCGACCTCCCATACAAAGTCAGTCAGCTGATCGTGAATTTTGTATGAGAGGTCGGAAAATTTTTTTCGTTTCCCACCATTGGCTTCATAGTAAGTAAAAGTTGTTCAGTTTGATGGTCTGATCATGCCTGCAAAGTTTTCGGTACACCGTCCCTAACACCCTGTATGTAGGTAATGTTATATTTTACATCACCGACTGTTTGAGTAGAGAGCTCGATTTTAGAGTCGCAAGGACCTAAAAATATTGGTAGATATAGTTCTGATAAGCTTAAAGCGAAGCCTGAATAATTTTGCGGATACTAAACCTTCTTAACAAAGCTTATTATAAGTACAAACAAGATACTACATTCTAACGTCTGCTTAAGTTAAGAGCATGATTTTCTAGTTGCAGTTGATATTGTGCTCGCATGGAACTGAAAATAAGCATAGATATTAAGAACTCTTAAGGGGATAAGCCCGCCTTTGTGCCTGTATTTTTCTTATTTTTGTTTTTTGTTGTTTTAAAATGTTTTGGTACAATAAAAAGATTACATACATACATACATAGATATACTACTGTAAAGAATAAAGTGAAGCCTAAATACCTTAAAATCAAATGAACCGACTTCACAAAGAAGAATTACCGTGTCTATCTTATGCAACGCTTTTGGGCAAAATAATAAAAAAAAAAACTTCTTTTGACAGTTTTAAAGACTTGACAGTAATTTAACTTAAAAATACATCTCTGTAAATAGTAGGTGTTTAGTTTCGCATCATGTACGCGCGCGAATGCGATTTGAGTTCGCGCCATTTCGTCTGACATACCGCGCGGCTTGTGACGTTGACGCCCCGGTCGGCGCTATCTTGCTTCCTTTGTTCGTTCAGTTCGTTCGAGAACCACGCGGCCGGCCATAACCTCACATTATTCTCTCGCTCGACCCGTGCGCGTCGCGGCCCGGTTAGGCACATATTTTAATGTAGTTTGGTGTCTTTATTATTTCGTGTGTGCAATTTCCACCAGGGAAGAATTCCCTGTTTGATGTGGATCCTTTGTTATTCGCGTTTTGTGCAGTAAACATTTAGTGCTGTCGCGAACTGAAATAGTGGTTGTGAAAATCTTCGGTTGAATATTGGAGTGGCGGATGGCGATCCAGAGCTGGTATCCAGAGGCAGTGAGTCATAGTGTATAATTTCCTATCCAAATGTGCTCCAAAATTCCTGATACCTTTTTTCCCGTCACACTTTGACTCATAAGGGAACGGCGGCGACATACTTGCCAAACGGTAAGCAATTCGCTGTTAGGTTTTGTATAAGTACGTTATTTGCAGTGATTTAGCAACATTACGTGGAGGTCACCACCTTGATGACCTTTAGTACAACCGGAACTTGGTACATATACTTTAGACATGAGCTGCGATAGTGCGGTAAAATATTAGTCATCTTGTAGGAGATTAAGGGCCGTCGCAGACTTCGGAAACAAAAATTTCTCAACAGGAAATTTTATTTTCCGGAACAGAAAATTTTCCCATTAAATTTATTTTATTTAGCTATAGTAAAGAGCACTACGAATCGTAGTCAAATGTTGTTCCGAGGCTGATCGACCATTTGGTTTTAGATTTTAAGATAACTTTGATTTGCTTCCACTGCGCTAAGATCAGCTTCGGAATCAAACAGTAGGTATATTGGTTTGTAACGTAGGCTCTATATTATCAAAAAGCTATAACAAGAAAGAAATAATATTTCATATTATAAAACATTTATTTAGGTATGTATTCAAAATCACAGTGAACAAATATTAATAATAATACTTTATAACTAAGTATAATTGTATAAACATTTTTAATATTTTTTTAGGTATCTAAATTATGCTCACGATTTCTTTGTTGGTAGGTATCACAAAAATACTATCAAATTAAGTAACTTAATAGAATTATAATTAAAAATATCATTAAAAAAATCTAACAAACCGTAAATATTTACAAAATGTGTTGTATAAGTAATCTGTAGACAGAAACTTCTTCAGAGAAACATTAAAAATATTATGCACTTCAATGATTTTAAACAGAATACAAACAAAATATACGATAATCCGATACATTCCCTTGAAGGGTAAAGATACCCTTAAAAACCAAGCGTCGCGGCGTCGCGGCGGCGTCGTTGTCGCTGTCAAATGACTGGTTTGTATGGGGATACCAGAAAGACCGGGCGTCAGCGTCAACGACGCCGCCGTGTCGCCGTCACATTGAAGCTCAGGGTTTGTATGGCGCTGTCAGTTGATGCGGTCGGGTTTTTCTACAGACCGCAGCGACATTGGCGCCGTCAAATTTTGACGGCGTCGTTGTCGTGACGCCCGGTTAATAAGCGTACCCTTAGAGGGGAGGTCATTCTATCCCGGATAGCTGATGAAACAAAGAAGTACCTAATTTAAATATATAGGCAATTTATCCGATTATTTCCATGGTTATTTTTCACAATACAATAAATGCATATCTGAATAAGGTTCTTCCGCCAAACATTTTGCAAAATTAAAGGTCCTGATAAGTTTATAACTAGCGCTTTCCGACCCATAATTCAATGGAAGAATATGATGGAAATGGCCGCACCTTTTTCCCCTTCAGGGAATGTACAGAATTACCATTCACCCTATATAGCGTTACAAACTGTTAATCTTAGATCCTAATGTACCATGTCCCAAGATGGAAAACCAGTAGGTTTCCCTATCCTGGTCACGGCACCAATTGTAACTGAACTCCCATCCTCTTAAATAAATAAAATACGAAATACGCGGAGCGCATTCAAGTCTTATCTTAAAATACCAATGCGCTCTGCGTATTTCGTTTTTTATTTAGGTTAGTTACAATTTGGTGCCGTGACCAGGATAGGGAAACCTACTGGTTTACTACACTACTGGTTTAATAAATAAAATACGAATGCGCTCCGCGTATTTCGTATTTTATTTATTTAAGAGGTGGTAGTTCAGTTACACTAATGAAAAAGTAATGATTTGATAATAAATAAAACCTAATATAATGCAATTTAAGTATTCTTAAAACATTCGCAAACTAAATCAGACAGTCGCAAACTAAATTTACACTAATATAAATGCAATGTGAGTTAATAACTAAATTGAACTAAATATATCACAAATCAAAAATAATGTACCTACTTCAAAATAAAGTACTAAAGTCTCTATCTACCTAGTTTCTTCTTATTTTTTGCCATCCCTATTTCAATCCTTAAATCGGATTTGTCAGCTGTCAAATATGCTCTATTCGTCGGCCGTACTGTAGGGTGCTAAACATTGGTAACAAAACGACAACCATAGGAATACAAAATTCTCTTTCGTTGAACATAAAAATAATAGTAAGATAAACTTAAACCAGTTTAAGTATGGTATAAGTACGTAAAATTCGTGAGATAATTTGTTTTTTTTACAATGAGAAATTGACAACTTAAGTCCTAATAATAATTTATTTTTAAATATAACTACGGTGAACGGTCATTTAATAGGAACATCGAGAATCGTTTTTTGGCGGCAAAACGTTAACCTAATCTCTTGCTTGGTTTTATCTGAAAAGAAGAAAAATTTCATTTTAATAAAGAGGGGAGGCCTTTGCCCAGCAGTGGGACACGGAGCAGGCTACATAAAAAATAAAATAAAAAAATATTGAATGTTTGCGCTTATCTCCGAAACTATACGACGGACTTGAATGAAATTTTTTGTCGTGTGTAGCTACTAAAATAAATAACATTGATTGATTAACCAAGCTTGATCATATGGGTTGAATTTCACCCATAACATAATAAGGACTAAACGATAGTAAAGTTGTAAATACTTTTTACAGATGTCGCTGGATCGTCGCTTGGAGACGAGCATCAAGAAATAGTTTGACAATCAATCGGTGCATCGATAGCTCAGTGGCAGAGCGATGTGGGGCGTTTACCCATGCGGCCCGGGTTCGATCCCCGGTCAATGCATGACATTTTTTCTATTTCTTAATTTAAAATGTAGGTACCTAATCCGATGATCAGTAACCCTATATAGTTTTCAAAAGAACATGTTGATAGCGCGTTTTAGAATACCTGCAGCGACATCTATTGTAAATTTTTGTCGTCTGTTCGAATGTTTGCGTGAATCTCCCAAACTACACGACGGATTTGAACGAAACTTTTTGCCTTGTGTAGCTACTTTAATAAACAATAAATAAAACATCTTACTAGATCCTTACAGGATACAGGAAAGTGATGGCGGCGTCTTTCCCGAAGTCGTTGCTCACCACACACTTGTACTCGCCCATGTCTGACCAGGAGATGCTCTTCAGCATCAGGTCACCTGACGGCAGGATCTGCGGAGAAGACAGTTGGTAAGTTTTTTTTGTGTTACCAATATAAGTTATTTAATGAAGCCTTACTAAACAAGTTTTTAAACTTCAAAATAATGAGGAACACGTTATTGAAAAAAAGAAAAATATAGATCGCATGGTGTGTTCTATCACCTTGCAGATAATATGGCGATAGAGAGCGCCATCTATATTTTTCTTTTCAATAATGTGGTCCTGGACGGTCCCTAAGCTGTCTAACCAGCACCGGCAACCACAGATTACTAAACACCGCCAGGTAGAGTAGTATAAATTCCTTGTTACACTTTTTTTTGTAAAACAGTTGATAGTGGTAACAATAATACAAAGAAATGTAGAAGCCAACATAAGCGTGCTTTAGAACCGACGCGACATGTTTGTCTTGTCGTTAGGACCAACCCTGAGGCATTTTTACCCGACTGCCTCAGAAGGAGGGTTATGTTTTTCGAGAGTATGTATGTATGTATGTGGACAAGAAAATTCATTTTCACGGGCTACAGCCCAAACGGATAGTTGGATTTTGACATATGAGGTGTCGTTAGTGATAATGGCTATATGTATTTAAAAAATTATAGGTTCAAGATGGTGGATTTTTACAGCAAAATACTACTTTGAAATTACTGCAGTCGGGATTTTGTTCTTTAACACATGTACTTGTTCTGACTGTATAAGTACACAGAAAAGCAATTCAATTTGCAATACTCACTCTAACTCTCGCGCTGTCATAAAGCATGTCGTTTTCGTTGCGCACCCAGAACAAATCATCCTTCCAGACGGAGCGGCACGGCAGGATCACGTTGGTGCCCATCTCTTGCATAGTGTAGTTGTAGTACAGCGTGATGATCGGGGTAGGGGGCGCTAGTAGTTTCAGAAGTAGGCTGTCGGCGTCTACACCTGGAAAAACAGGTTAAAAGTATTGTTACTATTAGATATAAACTATCAGGAAAACAATTAGAAAACAACTGCGTCCATACGGACTACTGACGCAGTTTCAAATTCCAACTGTCGTAAGGTCACTTCCTTACCTGAAGAGATGAAATGAAATCGAAACAGTTACCTACTTATTTTGCAAATACACTGTTCGTCTTTCGTTCTCTTTTACTAGTTCAGCGTAAAAACTTAACTAAGCTACATATTTGTTACTATAGTTGCGACGATGCTAAACATTGGTAACATTTTTTTTAAGGTTATGTGGGAATTCCGAAAAGATTTTTGGAGAGGCAAATTAGGATATCTATCTCGAACAGGTGTCACAATTGGCGAAAAAGGAGATACGGCGCTCAGGGTTTGACAGCAAAGCAGCGTTTCGACTGTCCCTACGCCGAGGGTCGTGGGCTCGATTCCCACCAGACACATATATTTTCAAATTCTATTTTCAAATATTTGTGTTTAGTCTAGGTTTTATCTATGTATGGTAGGTGTATACCTCTAGTTATTTACAAAAAAGTATATAAGTATTATATCAGTTTTCTAGTTCCTATAGTACCTACAACCTTTGCTTAGTTTGGGGCTAGATGGCGCTTTGTTTCGTCCAGGAAAAAAAAAACTGCAATGCATGCGTCTTCCATTTCTTTGTGTAATGTAATGCATTACCTATTTCTATTTCAGCCAATTGCAGTCCACTGCTGGACGTAGGCCAGCGAACGCCATAAGCTATTCACATATTAGCTCATTACCTATTAGAAGAAATTAAGTAAAGAAAAGATGGAAAATAAGACTGAATTTACCTTCATCATGAGTGACAACAGTAGTAGACGCAGTGCGCTGGTTGATATTCGAAGTGGCCACGCAGGTATAGACGTCTCCGTTGACAGCTCCATCTAGAACCAGCTTGGACACCACTCGCGTCATCGACGTGGGGTCTATGGACATTATCTCGTTTGCCTCTTCTTCGTACTGCAAATAAAGAGAATAGGTTAGTAAGTTAGTTGGTTTGCCGTGTGGTAGAGGCTAAGCATACTGCCACCCCTAGTCCACTCAGGATTTCAAGTAAAAGGCGACGTAGAGTCAAAAGCATGGTGGCGGCGATACCACCTTCGATAATAAAACCGGCCGGTCATAAAACATCATCAAACATATCCTTTTACTGCATGATTTTGTGCTCTAATATAAAATGTTGCGCCGGCCCTAATCGATCAATGATAAGGGCAGGCTGATGAAGAATATAATATCTGATGCCGCTGACCAGGATACGTCGCTAGGGTTACAGGAGCAGCTTTCTTGAACTTCACATATTCCAGCCAGTAGAAAAAATAAGAGAGGCATAGAAACAAAGACACACTCACATCGACAAAAGGAGTAGAAGAGCCCATAGAGTAGGAGAGCCCATGACCTCACATTCTATCTGTAGTCGTTGACCAGGATACGTCGCCAGGGTCACAGGAGGTGCTTTCGTGATCTTCTCATATTAAAGCCAGTAGATAAATCCAAAGAGAGACAGTAAGGCAGAGAGACAAAGAAACAAAGACACACTCACACCCAAAAATGTTTCAATAGCCACTGACCAGGGCAACAGAAAGGGGAGTTTTCGTGATTCAAGCCAGCAGAAAAAACCAAAGACGGACAGAAAGGCAGAGAGACAAAGAAACAAAGGCACACTCAGGTCGACAAATGGTTCGATAGCCACTCACCAGGCCAGTCAGAAAGCGTGACGGGGAGAACTTTCTTGATCTTCACATATTATAGCCAGTAGATAAAACCAAAGAGAGAGAGTAAGGCAGAGAGACAATGAAACAAATACTTACATCGACAAATGGTTCCCCGTTCTTCAGCCAGCTGACAGCAGGAGTTGGAGAGCCCATGACCTCACATTCTATTTGGAGCCGCTGACCAGGATACGTCGTCAGGGTCACAGGGAGTGCTTTGGTGATCTTCACGTACTTGCGGAAGCCGCGGCGGGCTTTGGTTGGTGATACTAGAAAAAACATTAAAAAATAAAACAATATTGAAAAGTACAAGTTACTCTTACTTTATTTATTTTAAAGAAAACAGTGGCCACGTCTGGGATTGAACCCGAGACATCTTGCACGTGTAGTAACATTTGTCGTGTCATGTTTTTTACCCACTTTTGTGCTGGTAAAACAACAAAGGTAACAAAATTGGAACATTGATTATTTAAATCACAGAATAATTAGGTACATTTGTATTTCAATATTTTTCCCTTGTAGAAGCGGCTAAGAATACTGCCACCCCTTGTCCACTTTAGGCACTAGGGTAATTCGTACAAGTCGACGTAGAGTTTTTGACCGTGGCTGAGTTGACTATGGTCAACCGCATGGTGGCGGTGATACCACCTACAATAGCATTCCCAAAGACGGCAGGCGGTCGGTCATAAAATATGGCCAAATCCTTTTGCTGCTTGATTTTGTGTTATGTTGCACCTACCCCATCTCATTTGGGATAAGGGCAGGAAGATGATTATATAAATAATCACCCACTTAGGTACTTAAGAGTGACCTAAGAATGGAATAAGTATAAATATCAATTCTTGAATGAATAAGAATTGCAAATTATCAATTTTCATAATACATTGCGATCGGGTCGCATACATTCTATTTGAAAGTCAATGTGTAAAGGCTATTTCATACCTAGCACAATTTGCCGCTTGTTCTTTTAAGAATCCTATTGAAAATTATCTGTCTACTTTTTCTTTTTTCGAGTGGGACACCGAGTCGTCCAACGATCCGATGAACTACTACACGTAGCAGGCCTCTGACACGACCTACGGCTAAGTAATCATAGACAGCAACCGGGAATTACGGCTTAACGAAGCACGGAACCATTTTGCTTTCGGACAATCAGGTGGCAATATTCTAACCAGACTAGGAATAAATTCACAAAGTGATTAATATCCAATTTGTGAACCGGAACCTGGAATTCTGCGTTGCGGGTAGTCGCGCTACCTCATCATCTGCCTGCCCTTATCCCAATTTATTTGGGGTCGGCGCAACACCTATACACCGCTAATATAAAGTCTATGATTAGTCTGAAGCCTGCTAATAATAGCATCGTCTCAATTTGTATCCATGTTAGTTATACTAAGGGATAAATCCACCCAAAAAATTGGCAGTAGCGTTCCCTATAAATGAATATATTGCATTGCACTTGCCAATCCGCCTGCTTATCGTGATGAGTATGGCAAAGCCCCTAATTAGGGAGACCCATACCAGCAGTGCACCATTGTGGCAGTTAATAGTTAAACAAATCTATCTGTGACAAATTGGACATGGCTTCAGTTTGTTGTATTCAGAATTGCCTCTAGAATTTTCCTTTGCTCTGAGGTGTTAAATAGGTTATCTGGAATTCCATGAAATCATTGCTATTTTTGGAAGTATGCATAAGTTAGTTTCCGATTCCGCGAAAACGGATTTGTATGCATTTATCCTGAATTTCATGATTTCTTTGGCACCTAAGTGGAGCCCCCTGTCTGGATAAAATGAAAATTAATTCACGAAAAGAGATTTTTAATGAGGATAAAATACGAACAGAGTTTTTTAATGAAAGTTTTTTGGACTGACAGCTAAACGAGTCCGAACTAGATGACGTTTTAACTTTTTCAGTTTGTGGGATCATCTGTCTCACCACCATGATATGACAGTTGACAGTTGATGATACGAAACA